TACTAAAGTTTGATATTTTTAGATAGTTTCATGATATTCATCAAAGTTACGAGTACTTCAAGGACGATCAGATAGCTTCAGAATAATCCCATTAACTTAAGCAATTTTGCAGCAACTTACAAGCAGTTCCGTGGAATTATGGTGTATTCCAAGCATTATATGATCAACCCGAAAATGGCAGAAGCGTCAGGGAATTAGTGAAATATATATCAGAACATTTGCCTGATTATTAAACAAATTTAGGGAACTTCAGTTAAGCATAGATAAGATCAAGGAAAATTAGTGAGCGATTTGAATGATTATAATACTCCTGGAAAATTGTCCAACCTTCAAGGCAAATCAAAGAATTTCAGTAAAGTTGCGGGTTATTAAAAAAATTATAAATTCAGGTCAGTCTACGTAACTTTAAAGAAATTCAGTAATCGTTTAGGCAGTTTAATAACACCAGGAGTGTCTAGACTGTTGAAGAAGTTTTAAACAAGTGTCGATAATTTAAGGTAAGTTTCATGAACTTCAGAAAAATCTGGAGAACATTTGTGAAAATCAGTGAACTATATTAATTATTTAGTTCTTATTCCCTGAAAACTGTGGGAGCACAAAAGTTTCAGAAGTTAAGGTAAACTTCAAAAACTTCACAGAAGGACAGTGGTCTTCAGAAACGTTTCGAGAACTTCATTGAAATCTATGGAGGTGAAGGGGAGATCCACAAACTTCAGGGGCCTTCCTTAGCATGAGAGCATGAGCATGATTGACCGCCCACGGTTGCTACTCTGTTATTGCCAGACCAGCTGTAATTACACAGAGAACCAATAGACGATGATTGGGACTAGCAATCATCCTCAATGTGTAAAAACTGGTGATCTCGGGAATACCAGCGCCAGCCGCGCCTGAACGCAGGTCAAGAAAGGAATGGGTAGGAATGTGTTGACGTGACACTCGCTTTGATGGATGCCGAGGAGTCCTCTGCACTTGCACGAGGAATCACAGGGATGTTGGGGAAGAGGGTTGGGTTAGCAGCAGGGTTCGTTTTGGTAAACGATAAGCTGAATTGATGTCCTAACGATCGTATAACGCGCAAGAGCTTGGGATTGAACCCACGGTCTTCTGCTCAGTAAGCAAAAAAGTTTGCCACTAGGCAGACGAGCTCCTTTTTAATCATTGACGAATCTTGAAGCAAAAATGGTTGCTTCAAGGCCACCGAGCCTCTCATATTACATTATAGCGAGCCTCTCATATCACATTATAACGAAAAGTTTTACAAAATACACGATAAACAAGCGAGCTTACCATGCATCTTTAATATGAAAGGATCTGGGACCGCGTTTTTCTCCTCAGTAAGCAAGCCACTGCAACCGACGATCTTTGAAATCCTAAAACTTAAAGCTACGAAAGAGTACTTAGGCCTTCATTAAGATCCACTTTCACGCGACGTTCAATGTTTCGATTTTCTTTTTACGCATGGTTCAGACAATCATAACAAGCTTTGACCGACGTGACGATTGTTTAAGACCTGGTTAAACAAGCTATTCAAATGAAATTACGTTCTCGAATTTCACTTGGAATGTAATGAACAACAGAAATACGCGATAAGTAATATTTTCAGCGGTTGATGTTTAATTTTAAATATACTAACGGTACTGCCTACGGCTACGATGGCGATTACGACAGCGACTAAGACGGCGCCTACGACAACGACAACAGAGAATTTGTAACTTTCCATTTATCTAGGATAAACACCTTTGTCCGGCACCTCCACTGGTTCTTCATGTCCGCTATCTCTCACAACTTCAGGGGCCTTCCTTAGCTCAGTCGATAAAGGCGCAGCTACAAAGCAAGACCATGCTGGATGTGGCTGGGTTCGATTCCCGGTCTGGTCTAGGAATTTTTCGGGTTAGAAAACTTCTCGACTTCCCTGGGCAATAGGGTATAATTGTACTTGCCACACAATTATACTCATGCAAAAATGGTGCGATATGCAATAAGCTTGAAATGCGAAGAAGAAGAAAAAGACAAACTTCAGGAATTTTCATTAGGAAAATGCGAGAGCATTTGAAAGAAGTTTAGTAAGTTCCGAAAATTGGAGGAATTTCAGGGGGAGGTCAGTTCCATTAGTTTCAGAAAATAAGATAACTTCCTGAGACGTTAAAAGTTCAATGAGGTCTTCGCATAAATTCAGAAGCTCACTGAAGCTTAAACATTTTTAGGACGGTTCAATTAGTCATATCGTCCGGCCATTTTCCACACAGATGGCGCTGTTCTGCTGGTAGGAAGTGATAAAAATCTCCATATAGAATTTGAGATATGTGAGAATAATTCGCTTTCGGTGCGAATTCAGGTAAAAAAAGTGAATGATAACCTAAAAGAAATTAGTCAGGAACATTGTCGTTTAGTTTTTTCCCGGAAATTATTGATAAACAAGCTACAATTAAATAAAAATGATTTTTCCCCATACAGTTTTACCTGCTTTACTACCAGTCCCCAGAGAGCCAAAAAATTCAAATTTGAGAGAGAAATTTACTCTCACGACCTCAATCTCTCAACATGCCTGACACTCGATTTGTGATTTCCCTTTCACAGAATACAAAATAGAGTACCTGAAACTTCAAAACATGTGTGGTACCTCTATATATGCATTTAGATTAACATTTGAAGTTCCTCCATTTTTACATAGTCTACACAAAATATACTTTCTTCCCCGACCAATTCATAAAAATCGACGGGAAATTCTGTGAGGGGTGAGCTATTTTGTGTGCAGAATGTATAAAAAAGGAGGGACTTTGAACATTAATCTAAATGCATATATAGAGGTACCAGACATATTTGGCACTGCACTGTCCTCTGTGGCCGGCGCCGGTGGTGTAGTGGTAAGCGTGACTGCTTTCTAACACCCCAATGGGTCTGGGTTCAATCCCAGCCGAGGTCGGTGGGATTTTTCTGAGGCATAAAAATCTCTGTTCACGTCTTCCTTCGGAAGGGAAGTAAAGCCGTTGGTCCCGGCCCATGTATGTTGTGAATGGGTGCGATATCCTACGCAGGTGTGGAAGCTGCCTTCCTGCACATTCAGTTGCCGTCAATGGATGGCAATCGATGTCCGTCGGTGATTGGCACTAGATTGCGGAACAGAGACCGACGGTAAATAAAGAAAAAGAAGAACTGTCCTCTGTGAACAATTTAAGTAAAACAGATTTTGAGTAGTTTTCGATAGATGTCACCGCATACAACAGCAGTGACATCTGATGGAACATGAATGCAGAAGCTTGACAAGATGATTAATTAAATTCAGCGCAGTACAACAAGCTTCATGAGAACTGCAAAAACAATAGAGAAGTTTTGAGGATTTCAGAAAAGAACAGAGAACCTCAGAGCAGTTTCGTGTACATTAGAGAAGTCACATAAATTTTAAAGAAGTTTAGAGAACTTCAGCGAATTGTTAAATTGTTCGGAAAATTTAATAAGTCCTATAAAGTTCAAGGAAGTTTAGGAATTTGATGAGAAGTATTTTGGGCATCAGGCTAGTTTCTCAAACTACAAAAGAACTTCAAGGCAGTTTCATTACCTTCATGAAAAAATTGGGATAATTCAACTAGTTCCGAAGACCTCAGAATAGCCCATTCCATATTCAACCGAGATTTGCATTGAAATATTCCTCAAAATATCGATGAAGCTATCCTCCGGATTCAATTTTCTTTTAGTTTTCCTCGGAATTACCTTGAAATTCTCCACAATAGGAAACCCTTTGGAAAGATTCTCCGAATATTAAAAAAAAATACCAAAAGTTCTTGTTCTACGAGTTTTGTCAATTTGAAAGTGTCCATAGTTTTAATCGTTCCGAAAGTTTGCATTTTATATGAGCTGTTTTTTTACACAGAAACATTAAAAAATACATTTTGAGATATTTAGGGTTTCCAATGTTATTTTTTATTTTTAATAAAAATTACTAAAATCATGTTTAGGTATATTTTTTCCCAGAAAAACATTATTTTTCTATATAACTTTGTTCGAAACCTCATTTTGATCAGAAGTGCCGTTTCTAGCTTAAATTTTTTTATACATTTCATAAACGCCATTTTGAAAATTTTACAATGGCCGAATTGTAGCTAAAATGTGAATCTTAATATAAATCATGTCCGATTGAAAAGTGTCGCTGGTGGTGCTGTGATAAACGTGACTGCCTCTCACTCCAAAGGGCCTGGTTTCAATCTCAGTCGGCGCCTTCGGGATTTTCTGAGGCATAACATCTCTGATCACGCCTTCCTTCGGAAGACAAATAAAGCCGTTGGTCCCCGGTTCATGTGTTGATGTGTCGATAGGTAGGGCCCAGGTGTGAGAGCTGTCTTCCTGGCGTCGGTAGCATTGGTGCTCAGTACGGAAAACAAGATCGATGGAAAACAAAAGGAAAATTAAATGTCCAATTGAGTCCAAATTTTGCACAGGAACTTTTTTCGAGGTAATAAACATTTTGTATATGGTCGGTTTTGGATAGAGGGTCCCTTTTTTCCATACATTCATTGGTACCCTAATCAATCTTTGATGATAGCTTCCCGGATAAAATACACAGCTTTTAGAAATGGCTTTCAAAATTTCGCTGAACCAGAAAAAACGATAGTGATTGTCACTTAAGTAATCATTCGAATACTTGGCGTCAAGAGAATCAATAAATATTACTTACTGACCATCGATATCGAAATTATTTTAAAATCTGTGAACGAAAAATTTAGTAATTGAAATTAATTATATTTGATTATTTTTCCCCTACCTGGCATACATAAGTTTATGTACGCTAGAAATCATTGAAATAAGTTAAGGAAAACAAATAATAGAAATGTTTCCCGACGAACGTGGCAGATTTTTTATTTGTGGTGGTTGGTTATAGATTCCTTTAGTCTTTTATAATAAACTGTAAGAGATTCTTGCATTATTGGTTGAGTGTAGTACCCTTTGTTATTTTTATTAAGTGTATATTTTTTCTCTATCATTATTGTATTTTCCTTATCATACAGAACCCTATACAGACTACAAAATCATCGTAGCTGCCTTCACCAAAAAGTTTGACGGTGAGCCCTCGGAAGTGTCCCAGCGAACGGACATCAGTGGTCCCAGCGCCCCAAAAGTGGTCAACCTTACCTGCCACTCGCAGCATGAACTTTTCTTCGGCTGGAAGATACCGCAAACCTACTACAATACCATCGACTACTACATCATCAGCTACCGGAATTTAGCGCACAGCGAATACAAAGACATCCGGTTGAGTGCAAATTCATCAATCGTGGAAACATCGGTATTATAAACAATACAAACATTTTCATCATTTCTATGCTATCATAACTTATCTGTCATTTCAGATGATCATTCCAAACCTAACAACTAACATGATATACGAAGTTAAAGTGCGAGCGGCTTCCGCAAGTGTCATAAACCCGAAGCAAATCATTCTCGGTTCGTATTCAGAACCCAAAAAGGTAACAATCTACAATTATAGCTGTAAACTTCCAATTGTGACAAATAATTTCCTATCTAACAGATTTCTCTTCAACTAAACTGCGAGAAAGTTCCTCCACCGTCGCAGCGACAGTCCTATGATGATTATAACCTGGCCGTCCTGGCCGGTATCGTCTTCAGTTGCTTCGGACTGCTTCTAGTCGTGCTGGCATTCCTGCTATGGAAGTAAGTACAGATCACGGAAATATTTCTAGCCATGCTTTCGATTTCGAGTTCAAAACGTCAAGGTTGGATTTTCGTTAAAAATAGCTCTACATTCCAACTTTGATTCAATTCTTTGGGTGGAGGAAAATTCCATAAACATACTGTGGTTAAAATTAACTAGATGTACGCATTCGAATAGCGCATAGCTATCTCTAGTGGCTTGCTCCACAAACGTTGAACGTCGGTAATATTTGCTAATTACATGCAATGATACACACCCGGAATCCCGGTGTCTTGTTGTCGAGGCAAAAGTCAGATGAAACTGTACCTTGCCGGGGAGAATTAAATACACACGCTCGGATGTAGGTTTCTCATGTACAGCTTAGATGCAGCATCTAGTCTGTGCTGGATGTTAAGTTGGCAAAATCGCGAGATGATTGTTTTCTGTATTTCTTTTTCATTGGCGCTAACGCTCTCGCTGTGGCTGTCTGTGGAGTGAATATGTGAAAGCGACTTGGGATCTATTTATTAATGACGTGTGTTGCTAATGTACCGTCATAGTAATATAGGCAATGACGATTTTGGAAAAAAGATCATGTTTGTTTTTTCCCATCTGGTGGCGATAGATCTGACGCCATTTGGAACCAAGCAGTTTTGGAAAAAAAAATGAATTTATCCACCAATTGTAGTATATCGTGCGATTTTACTTTAATCATATTCTGGTCTCTTCCCCGTTGGTACCCCACACATGTTCAGATGTGGCTAATGTGATTCTGGGCACTCACTATGAGTTCTATTGATCTTATTTTTGAATTATCACGTGATTTGATATGTGTCATGATTAGAGGGTGACTCCCGACAAATCGACTAATTTCACCATTCCCGATTCCCGGGATTTTCCCCACATTTCTCGGGAAATTCGAGCTATCGTCCTAATAAACGATCATCATACATGAACGATACCACAAATCGTTCTACAATGCCACATATTGTTGGGATGAATAGGTTTTTAGGCACTCCTGATGATTATTTTCTATGGGGGGAGAGGTAGCTCATCGATTCTTCCGGTTCGCCTCCTAGCATCGTGCTATAAGGTACCAGGTGATAACCAGGGTAGTTGATCGATAGCTCGATGACGTCATTTCGTTGGCGTCTGCAATGGGAAATTCTCATAGCAGGCGTTGACGATGGGACGTTGGCGAGTTGTTGAATAGCAACTATCGTGGTAACTCACCGATTACCTGTCGATCTGCCAAATTTGGAAAGACGTCTGCATTGAATTGTCTCATATAATAATATTCCGCCCACTATATCACAAGAAATTGCGAGTAGCTGAGTGGAATGGAGATAAGTTAAGCATTGGGTACAGGACCAAGTCTCCCCTGGGTGGTGCCAAAAGATGAGCGCAATAGAATCATCAAGTTGCCATAAGGCACGGAATGAGACTATTGCATGGCTGGGTAGTCAAAGTCTTCCATTCGTTAGTCATTTCAGGTGGATTAGAACAGGTTTAGGTGGGCGTTGGCCAGATTTGGATTTTTCAGATGTAATCCTGGATAGGACCCTGTCATTGAACGTCGCGTGACAGTGGAACTTAATGAAGGCCTAAGTACTTTTTCGTAGTTTTTAGTTTTCGGATTTGAAAGATCGTCGGTTACAGTGGCCTGCTTACTGAGCAGAAAAACGCGGTCCCAGGTCCTTACATATCAAAGAGATTTATGGTAAAATCGCTTGTGTATCGTGTATTTTGCGAAACTCGTTGTTGTCGTTGGTTCCGGGTTTGAATGGATACACAAATTTGATCAACGGTATTATGTGATATGAGGGGCTCGGTGGCCTTAGAGCAACCGTTTTTGCTTACTGAGCAGAACATCATGAGTCTAATCTCAGGCCCATCCACATTCAAGATTCGTCAATCGTTTTATTTGTTAATATGACTACATGGTAATAACAGCAACTCGGTGATTAAAAAGGTGCTCGTCTGCCTAGTGGCAAGCGTTTTTGCTTACTGAGCAGAAGACCGTGGGTTTAGTCCCAAGCTCCTTCGCGTTATATGATCGTTAGGACATCAATTCAGCTTATCGCTTACCAAAACGAACCCTGCTGCAAACCCAACCCTCTTATCCAACATCCCAGTGATTCCTCGTGGAAGTGCAGAGGTGTTCTCGGCTTCCATCAAAGCGAGTGTCATGTCAACACAATCCTTCCCATTCCTTTCTTGACCTGTGTTCGGGCGCGGCCGGCGCTGGTATTGCCTAATTTAAGATCACCAGTTTTTACACATTGAGGATGATTGCTAGTCCCAAGCATCGTCTATTGGTTCTCTGTGTAATTACAGCTGATCTGGCAGTAACAGAGTAGCAACCGTGGGCGGTCAATCAAGCTCAAGCTCAAGCTCAAGCTCACTCCTGATGATTATTTTCTATGCGGGCGGTTATAATTTGATTTTGTTTGATGATTGTTATAATTTACCACATAATCGGATTAGACAGACTTTAAATATTGATTCAAATTAGAGAGGTTCTACTGTCTGCTCTGTCATTATCGTTTATTGATGTATTCAGTGTCGCTGGGAATATTTCATTTCAAAACCTAATCAATAATAGAAGTTATTTGTTTGTTAGGAGGGAATTCTTCAGCTTTCTGCTTTAACAATGCAAATTTTCGGAAAGAGGATTGATGAAATCCTAAGTTTTGCAGATTTCATCTAGAAAGAGAAAAGATTTGCATTCGTTGTTTATATCAGGCAAAAGTGTCAGAAGTTTGAAAACAATTTACGAAAAATTCGGCAGACAAAGCATTGTGTTCTCCAGGGTGTCGACTACCTGAAAAAACCTGGAAAATCAGGGAATATCATAATGAAGTAATGAAATTGGGTTGTTAGCGGAAAGCTAAATAAAACATCAAAAAAGGTTATCTTCCATTTAATTCCACTTAATTAATTTTGGTATCCATGACAGATACGTATTTCGACTACAATGTGCAGCCTTCATCAGTGTCATTCTCACAGGGAATATCATGAAATTCCTGTTTGGACCTGGAAAATCTGGGATTGTTAGGGAATTTCATTCCAAGTCAGGGAAATAATTCATTATAACAGGAACAAATTAATAAGTATGGCTGACTTCGCTAGTTTCAAACAACCTAATTACTCGCAAGTAGTTTGAGGATGGTTTTCAATTTCAGTTTTTAAATAGTGTTGCAAAGTTGTGCTTGTTCAATGCATGATGTTGCAAATAAAAGGGTATTATAAATTCAGCTCCCACTGGGTGTTGTCACATTCCTGAGTTAAATCGGGATAAAAATTCAGTTCCGTAGAGACGCTAGACGTTGTTAGTTGTTGCACAATCAAGCAGCTTATGGAAATCTGCGTCTCTTAATAGATGTTATACCTAATTGCGTCGGACAAAATTGAACCTTCAAGTAGATTCTGCGTCTGCTCGATCCAGCTGTGTCCAACAAAAATCAATCACTTGAGCCTATTGGAGCACTTTTGAGTAAATGCAAGAATAATTAAGAGTTAAGCTGGGCTTAGACAAGGCAAGTCATTGATCAACTCAGTTGAATTCAATTCGCTTGAAAAGTTGAGCCTGGTTCTACTTTTTCCAATTCAAGACAGTTAAATGACATAGTTCACACGTTCAAGACAGTTGAATTCAACTGAGTTGATCAATTGACTTACCTTATCTAAACCCAGCTTTAAGAGAAGATAATGATTTTTTTTTTCTGAATACTTCTAGTTCTTGTGCCTTATTATGTTCGTAACAGCTTGATTAGCGCAGAGAACTAACTAAATGAGAATTTAGGATAATGGTCTTGCTTGGGAGTTTTTTTTTATTGCTTGGAGTAGCACTTTTATGATTCAAATATACGTAGACAAGCATTGCTTTGACAGCATAGAGTGGCTGTATTGAGTATTCTAGGTCTTCATTGTAAACCTGCTTAGCTCGTAAAATTAGCTTCACAGTAAAGTTTTAGTATGGTAATATTGCTGCTATTGCAATTTAGATGGAATTACCTTACAGAATTTTGGAGATGAAAGCGTTGTTTTTACTATTTCCCATCGGAGGAATCCGCCCGTGAATTAGCTAATAATTTTCTTACAGAGCTGGGTCTCATAATGTGCTTAAGGCAAAACAAATGTAATGGTATTAAAAACAAGTGTTTCATATGTGAAATGCAAGGTGACCAGTGAACCGGGAAAATCGGAAAAAGTTGGAATTTGAAGTCACCAGGAAAATCCCATGAATTTAGTTGACAAATCTGGAAAAATATACCTCGTCCTCTCTCCGAAAACAATAAGATTTCAAGACCTTTGGACTGGTCTAGATTTTTAGGATAACTACAGTCACTTTGAAGAACTATTAAGAGAATTTAAGAATTGTTTTCCAAAACAAATTTGAGCAGATTTTAGAATGAATTCTAGAGATAACACCAAGGTATTTCAGAGATTATTTTAAAGGAACTTTAGGAAAACCTCTAGGAGATTTTTTACGAGATCTCCCAAGGGTGAAGAGGAAAAATACCAAGGAACGCGAATTTTGAGGGTACAGTTCCAACATAATTAGGCGAAGATCTATAAGGATAGTACGAGTATAAATCCATGCGCATTTCAAAAGTAATTTCTAGAGAGTGTTAATGAGAATTCCATGCAATTTTCAGACGAATTCTTTTTTCTTCAAGATAATTCTGAGCTAAATTTGAAGACAATTCTCGGCGGGAGAATTTCCCCTGCCAGATGATGTTCGCAGGGAAGGGGGATTACAAGTTTTGCTCACAAAAGCTAATAGGCCCTTTTCAATTGTTGGTCTGAGGTGAATTCTACGGAGAATTTCATGCAAATTTAAAAAAAAATTAAGCTGAAGTGAATTCTTAGAAAAAGTTTAAAATTCTAAGAATGGATGAATTTTATCAATTTTTTGGAGTGCTCTTCAGAGAATTTCTGTACTTTTATAAGAAAAAATCAAGGGATTTCCAGAGAGAATTTCAAATTCATTTTAGAAGAATTTTGGAAAGATCTC